GCGCGTGGTGGCTCACGTGGACCAGACATTGGCCAGCGGGTCAGTAACACAGATTAGGAAACTCAAGACCATGTTTGGTCTACAGAATCTGGAGCACAACGATGACTTTGCGTCCACACTCGTATGGCCGCTCTTTAAGTGGCAAAACGTTAACCCGCATGATGTCAATGATACTGTAGTTTCGACGACGCAAGGCTTCTGTGATCAACTTGAGACGGTTGTTGTTGGAAAAAAAATACACTATGCAGGTGCAAATGGAACAGGATTGGCCAATGCGCTGGTTAGTTACGGTCAGTGGATCTCGAAGTGGGTCGCGTCTGATTTATGTCGCGATTGGTCACCTGATGGGGTGACCACGCTTAATGTCTGCTTCAGCACGTATAATGCTCAGTCGAATGTATACACGAATATCACCATTCCCAATGATGATCGTGCCTGGTGGTATCTATGCTGCAGCTTATTTGGCTTCTTTATGACTGCACCGCCTGCTGGTGGGTCGCAGCCGCGGATCGTACCGGCATTGCAGAACGCTGCCTATTGGCAGCGAATGTGCCCGCTCTACTTTCCGCCCGGCAAGCTGAATGCGATTCCCCCCAAACCACAAGCACTTGCCATCAACAAGAAATGGGGCGGCTGGCAGATTGGCACAAACAGCTGCATCGAGAATCTCTTTTGGATCAACGGCGAATTCGATCCGTGGCGATCGGCTTCCATCAATTCACATTATGGCGCACCAGGCGGCGGTAAGCGTGCTCACACACCCATCTGTCCTGACACAATTATGCCCGGCGCTGTGCACGGCTGGGATGGTTATAACGATTATAACTCGCCACCCTCAGTGAGACATATTCATACAAAGGTGATTGCAGCCATAAAGCGATGGCTGGCTGTGTGGGCGGCAAAGAAGCATTCAATTCGGCGGTCGTCGGCATGACCGCGAAAGAAATCATTGTAAAATATGTAGATTTTTAATACTCGAGAAGCTTATTCTTTTTTCCATCTGAGCAAAAAGTATTTATTATGTTTGTTTCCTCCTCGTTTTTAAGATTTAGTCTACATTTCCGATTTTTCAGGACTTTGTTTGTGATTCAGAAAATCCAGAAAATATGTCTGCTTGAGAACATAGCATTCACAGGGAGATTCGGCATTATTTTCCCTCACCATTAGGCATGAACGCCATTCTAACACACAAAGAAAACTAAATACTTTAAAGAGAGTACTTCTAATACAACGGAACTTCTCGTTTACAAGTACAAGCTTGGATGACGTCATTTATATACATACATTCAAATTAATAGCTTTGTGAACGTTCTATCTGTACCTCGTTTGTGAAGAAATGCACAGATCTAGCATTGAAGTTACGAAGGAAAAGCTCATTTTTTTATTTACTTTTGTTGTCTGACCCATTTGAATGTTTTTCTCTTTCTTCACTTAAATGAGCTTTTTTCCCCTTGGCTGAAGTTCAAAATGCAGACCATCTAAGTACCTCTAAATACGGTGATGCTGAAACTCTTACAAGTGTTCAGTAGTAAGAAAAAGGTCATATCGACTATCAAATGGATCAACATATAATTCGTGTGAATCGGTATGATGATACAATTCTGATCCATCTTCAGATTTTTGATCATCTAAATACTCTGACAGTGCTTTCAAGTTGTTGTTGTTTATAATTGATGACGGATTAATTTCCATTGATTGAATACGTTTCAAACATGCCAGTTTGTCATTATCCATATCATCATCTTCTAAACCTTGAAATGGTATTTGAAATACTTCATCAAATCTGGCATAATCGTTTAACTGATTGTAATTGAATTTAACTAAACATCGCTGCTGCTGGTGATCTAATTCTAATACTGTCGCTTGTAAAAAATCAATATCACGAATTCTTGTGCATTTTTGATCATAAATCATCACTATTTGATTAATGTGAAATGTTCCACCCGAAACACCTGTAAATGAGTGAAGATTGTGTTCTTCAGATCTAAGACTTGAATGTGATTTTTCTTTTGTGGTAGAACGTTGTTGTTTAGTATGGCATGGGTTCCAAAGCCAGAGCGGCTGCCATTCATCATCTGTATAACGTGGTTTTCGGTTGGACTGCTGTTTGATTTGTTGCTGATAATAACGTTGTCGCATTTTGATTTGTGTGGTTGATTTGATTGTACTTACTGTGATGTTGAATTGACAGCAAGTCGGCTGGTGCACCACTGTTAGGTTCCCGAGTGAACTAAGATCTTTCTCTGCAATTTGAATATATTCTTGTACCATAGCATTGAGTGTTCTTGTGCAATAACCTTCACTATGATCTTCTTCCTTATGGCACGACTCAAGTACGTGACATAACAGGGATTTACTCGCAGTACTCGTTGACTAAACACACATTATTCTTTTAAACAGCCTTTTACTTACCAAATTTTAAAGCGTTCTGATACTCCTCGATAAATGAAGTTTAATTGCCCGTCATTTATATTGTCATTTTATTCTAAGTTACTAATACTTACAATTCTAATTTACAAAATTATAAAATAGGACTTCAACAAACAAAAACTGCACACAGAATTTGAATTCGAATTATCAAGATGCAAAGACTTGTAGCAGCAGTATCCATAAGCAATTTGCTATGTATCAGAACTAATAAATCCACAGCCGATATTATTTCCACCACCACAACACACAACAATATCAAGAATAACAGTAACCGTTTCCGATTAAAATGGCAAATTTAAATTTTCAACCACAAACAACAATAACATGTTAAAACTAAAAAATCCTTTAGATTCATTTAAATTGTTCGAAGATAACACTAGACGTAGATTCATCATCGATTTTAGATCAAGATTTTGTTTACGATCAACAATTAGCAAACACGGAAGCGGTTCATTTGGAAGGCATTATCTTTACTAGTAGTAGCGTTTGACTGACAGTGAACGAAATCCGTTTGTTATCGAAAGGCTTAAAATTTATACCCAATCGACCTTTCCATCTAACAAAAGATAGTATTTCTCGTTTCACTCACATGTTGTCATTTGACCAAAGCAAATATACAGTTTTGTAGCGCTTGAAAAGCTAATTTGAATGATGTATTGAGTGATTATTTTCAAAGAACTATTTATTTGCAAATAAAAATGTAAATCGCTGAACTGTCCGTAATCGGCGTTCGTTAAAATTAATTAATGATTAATCTATATCCCAGCAAAACTTTTCTGAAATATCTTATTAATTCATTCACTTTTGAGTTCGGACTTTTTGAAAAATTTCTGCAAATAAAACAAAAGCACCAAAAAACGTTACGGGATTACAGTTAGCTGAACAGGCCGTTGTGGTGGTTGAGGATTAACTGATTTGAAATCAGGTTTCTTTGTGCAGGCTTGTCTGAAATTTGCTGATTGAAATTTTTTTTTCTGAAATACTATTTTGACTTAGGACTTATAGCAGGTTATGGTGGCATCTGTTGAATATCCACATGTGTTTAGAACAGTGCTTTACTATGCAGTTTTTGAAATGGCAGGCTCGAACATTTTATTTCGAAAGGTACACCGTGGTACACCTTTTCGAAAGACTGGGGTTTTTCTCTCAATCATAGCCTGAAGTGTCCTCTATTAAATGTTGAAATCCGCAGGTCTGTATCTCATTCCTATCAAAAGTTATTCAAAAAACGGTAGTGTGCCTTCTATTTTGAAACGGATAGTTGTCGTCAGTAATTCGTATGCTTTGTAGAAATATCGATAAAATTCTTGATGGTATAGGCTTCAAATTATTTCCTCTTATGGTGATGACTTCCTCTTGCATTAGTAGTACTACATTAGCGTTTGTTATAAATTGGAAATTAACATTAGTTATTCTAGCGGTATTACCGATATTAATAGTGACATGGTTAATATTTGTAAAAGTATAGAATGACTGTTTTTACATAAAAACATTCACATACTTGTCTTTTATTATTACTCATTGTTTTATTTTAGTTAACGGTATTAATGACAATGAATGAATTAAAGTCATATGCAAAATCTGGCGCAATAGCACAAGAAATATTTAGTTCAATTCGAACAGTTTTGGCTTATAATGGTTCACAATACGAACAACTACGATAATAATTCATAAAGATGCTGTCTTATGTGATTGTTTTTGTTCTTTGTTTAGCTGTAATAAATATTTGGATTCATGCAAACACGATGAAATTGTTCAGAAGTTGCGTATTTCTCGAACTCCGTACAAGAATAATATCTTTTAAAATACTGATATTATGTGATATTTGACTATTCTTAAAAGTATAAAAAAAGGCATTCTAGTTGGATGTTATATGCGTGTTTACACAATGATAATACTATTTACATATTCAATTGGTTTTTATTTCGGTTATCGACTAATTTCACAAAATAATGATCAAATGAATAAAAACAATCTAATTGGAGATATCAGTTTTGTAAGATTTGTAGAAAGTTTATACCTTCTTGATGGTTTAGCTCAAAATGTTCATTCATTGTCGGAAGCAAGTGAAGCAGCTACTGAAGTTTGGCAGATTCTTGACAAAGAGGCATGATTTTATTGACAGAATATATGAGGTATAAAATGATATCATCTCGTTTACAGGAACTACTTCACGACAATTTATCTCAAACAGATAATGTGATTAAAGAAAATATTGATATAGTTGGTGATATTGTATTTAATAATGTTCAGTTTTCATATCCAACAAGAAAAGATATTAAAGTATTGGATAATTTAAATTTAGTTGTTTGTCATGGTGAAAAAGTGGCCTTGGTCGGATCTAGTGGAGCCGATAAACATTATCTGTTAACTAATCTACTGCATTTCTTTCTTTGTACAATTCATTTTTTTTTGTTTTACTTCCGTTAGGTAAGAGCAGCTGTTTTAATTTGTTATTTGAGTGAAGAAAGTCTTGATGATGATAAAACTGAATCATCCGAAAATGTAAGTCATTTTCTCAATATTTCTGTTAACAGTCTGAGAAAGTCTAACGCTATGGCGATTTTTAAAGTTCAAAAAATACAAAGTCATTGTATTCTGTATTTTATCTTCTCTGATTACTTTACTACAAGGGATGCCAACTAAAAAAAAGTAAAGGGGACTATTTTGTCTATAACAGAGAACAACGCAAAACACATTATTGATCATGTGATGTCATTGAGAAAATTAAAGGCACGTATTTTTTAATTCTGTTTTTTCTAATATTACTATGTCAAAAGATAAAAGTTAAGGCCCTCCCCCTCAGAATAAAATCTCTTTATATTAAAAAAAGGAGGGGAGGGAGGACTTAAGGCAGATATCTTTTGTTACACTATACACAGTAAATGATCAATTTAAACGTAATGTGCATATTTTTCACTTCCACGAATACTCTTGAAAAGTTCTTTGTTATTTAACGTCAAAGAACGAAAATTAGTACACATTAAGTTCGTATTTATTCTAATTCTCATTCTGCGTTCAGTGCTTTTTTTTTGGTACGATTTGAAACAATTTCTAACTCTCATTTATCTGTTCTACTTCCGAAGTGAACGAATGTAATGTTCTTTAATTATTAATCTTAAATCTTGGATAACTAGTGTACTGCGTGATAATCCGAACACATAATATTCCATATTAAAATCAATGCATTTCAGTCGTTTTATTCCACTATTGTACGTACGCAGTTAATTTTTGATCTTTTCGAAAAAAGTTTTTTTGTTTACTGTTAGTCCAAAACTGATCACGATTGAGTGTCACTTTACGATTGTGTTGATATTCTGCAACTTTTGCTTTAATTAAATCAGGATCATTCAAAATTTAAATTTAATCATTCATCCTTTAAAGGGAGGTCCCCCTATTTAAAGTTTTCTCTAACGTTCCCAGTTTGTAGAGGACACTTCGAAGTATATGTTCTGAAGTTTTTTTGGCTTCCTGACATTATTTGGCTGAGCAAAAAAAATTAATTACTTGAAAAATATTGTTAAATTTTTGAACAAGGGATTATTATTACAAGAATTCCTGTCCATTCTCCATTCATCATAAAAGCTTGATTCTTGCTTAGATCGATAGAGAAATGTGTGGAGAATATTTATTACGGGAAAATATGCTAGAATTTTCGTTCGTTCCTTCCTGGTATTGGCTAATTAGTACTAATTAACGTTAATTTAGCCTACTCTACTAGCATAAAGTCTTATTTGTAAAATAGCGACGCAACAAAAGGATTCAAGCAGTACCTCATCTGACAGAGAATTTCACGGCTTACAATATGGACCACCTTAAGAATTTTAGAATTCGTTTTTGGTCGCTCGGTAAGTCTCGTAAGTCGAGAATTTAACAATATTGTTTTAAGTAATTAATTTTTTTCTCAGCCAAATAATATCAGTAACCCGAAAAAATTTTCGAACATACACTTCGAAGTGTCCTCTACAAACTGGGAAGGCTTGAAGAAAAAATTCAAAACTTGAAAATATTGCTGGTTTTTGGCTCAGCGAAGATTTTTCACCGCACCTTAAGGCTGCTTTCGCTCGAAGCAAGCATTTTGACGCAAAACTTTGGGTACAAAAGTTGTTCAGAATCGAATTCAGCAGTCCCTCACGAGAACGTTTTGTAAAATTTTGTGTTTTTGGTTTTTAATTAAATTTTACAGTTTTTAATATTTTAAAATTTCGTATTTTTCAATTTAAAAAGCAAAAGAAAGAAAATTTTAGAAAAGCTCTCTTGAGGGACTCCAGAATTCGATTCTGAACAACTTTTGTACCCAAAGTTTTGCTTCAAAATGCTTGCTTCGAGCGAAACTAGCCGTACGGCTTTTTTCAAAATACTTTCAGCTCTAAAATTTCCTCTGGAAGGTGAAAGTTAAATTTCTCCGTCAAACTTCATTTGAGAACGATGTAAAGTTTTTCTCCTTATACAAGTTAATGTTCTCTATCGACCTACGCCAGAATCAACTCCTCATATCAAAAGCTGAAGTTTTTATTGAAATTTTAAAAATAGGGCAGAAAACCCGAAAAACATTTCAAAATTTTTTTAATTAAAAACCACAAATCCGGTAACTAAAAGCTTTGTTGAGACGTATACTCTGAAGTGTCCACTACAAACTGGTAAAAAAACGGATGGTGGGCCTCCTCCCCCTTAAAAGCAAGCTAAAAAGTATGAATAAGCAAAGTTCTGAACCATACTAACATCTAAAATAACACAACTAACACTTACATTTGATTCGTCTCTGAATATGCATCTAAATAAGCATCGGAAGTCCACTTTCTTATTGTATGTCCCGCTGCGAGTCTCTTTAAAAATTCGAGCGAGATCGCGTTCACTGTAAGACTCGCGATATAAGACGCGGCTTTTAGCGATCGCGATTTTCTCGCGCTCACATAAACGTCAATTTTAACTATCGAATATTTTACCACCATCGCTATTTATTCATGTTTTTCATAGACTAACAATAAATGAGTCACACTATTCTTACTGTAGATGCGGATGAATTGTGGTTCGCAAACTCACGCCGTGGCTACGCGCGACTTATATTAGTCCCGGTACAGTCTCTTTTTTTACTACTATCCTTGTGCATTTCTGACTGTGATTAATTACTAAAATATGAGAAGATTTAGCAAATTGTTCGAAAATCAGTGTGAGTTATCTACTAGGCGTCTACACAAAACAAAACGGTGAATAGAATTTGTACCGAAGTCGCACTGTGACTTTGCATTACGCGGAGGTTTACAGCGAAACGCTGGGGAAAGTCTAAGTTCTTAACTTTTAAGAAGTATAACACATTAGGGGACTTATAAGGAATTGCGGAGCGAAAAAGGAGGGGTCGCGCTGTGATTTTAAAATTTAAGGAAAAGGGTTGGCGCGTCGCGATCGCGAATTACAAATTTAATAAAAATATCATCGAAATTTTTTGTTGATTTTCATTTTTTGGTGAAAATTTCAGCAATTTTTCAAGGTGGAAATTCAAAAAAACTCTGAGTAGTTGGATGCACCATCGAAGTACATTATTCGATTCAGTTTGCGATGCTGATTCCGACAATGATATTTTTATTAAATGAAACGTGATTCCTGACGAATAAAACTGAGAATACTAGCGGAATTTCGATTTTTGCGTTCCTGATCTGGTAAATATAAACTTTCTCAATGAGAAAGCACGATAGATAAAAATACAATATGTACTTTTAAAGCTCGTTTAATGACGATTTTAATGAAGCGCAAAAATCGACTCCATCTTTTCTGCGAAAAAACTAGATCGATTTGCAAAATTGTTCCTGAACTTTTTATAGGGGAGTCCAAGACTGATTTGTTTTGTTCTTTTTCTATATTCGTACAATATACCGTTCGATTTTCCTTTGTCCAAGGAGCAAGAATATTACCTTATTTTTACAAAAGGACGTAATGGAAATGAGAAAAATCAATTTTAAGACCAAAACATTCAATAACGTATACGAACCTTTTTCAATGTTGAATTTTTTTTCTTATTAATACAGCCGGTCTCGAAAACTCAAATTGTATTGCTAGATAGAATTAAGTATCAGGCAATTTTTGACAAAGTTTGAAAGTGGTACTGTATTTCTTATCCGATGTCAGTAAATGGTCAAGCTGTTTAAAAAATTATTTTCTGAGAAATGATCATAGTTTCAAACCAAAAATTATATATGGTTAGATGCGCAATAAAATTCTCTATCGAACCTGTTATTCAGCTTTTCCTTCCTTACTTTCAAATTTTTAAGTCTGGCAGGCATTTCCATTTCTGCGCTTTACGAAAAAACGATTCATAATCGGACCTAATTTCGTTCAGAAAAATGACCTCTATTTCTTTCTCTCAAAATTGAAACCCATTTTCTTTTCACATTACTTCAAAAAGTAGAGTTTTCGGTTTTTCTTTCATGCGAGGTTTTCATTCTTCATTCTTCTTCTTTTATCATTCAGATCAAAGAAAAAGAAATTTATTTTCGATTATCATATTATTTAGTACGAATCGGTTTTCTTTAACTTAATTTAAGTTATCCCTTTGTTCTGTGCACTGATTTCTATTTCGTTTGCGTTATTCTATTTCGTTACTCCTCCTATCGAAAAAATCGACTTCAATTTACTGGACGCATATCGATTCGTCCTGATTGGTTACGAAATAAAAAGCAGGGCTTTCCGTAACGCGGTAAAAATTCATAAGTGATCAATAACAGGGCTTTCGTACAGTGTTTTACAGGACTTTTGCAACTTATTTTGCAGGGGTTTTGCCTTGAGATTAGTATATAGCTATAGAGTATGAATAGGGCTTGCTTAACGATGTGTATAGTAAACGAGTACTAAATAGGACGGACAAAGTCAAATCAACCTGTTGATCGCTACTAACAATAAAGAAACGCAGTTTTCGTAACGAAGTGGTTCATAGAAGTAGGCGAGAGTCACTCAGTTATCACTATCTATACTAGACTCTAAGTTCTGCACACTTGTCATCATCACTCTCACTCTAGTTTCACACTCTAGTGTAGTGCACAATGGATGTCCTGATAACAAACTGTTGACAATCAATCCCTGAGTTTCTTTGCTCTGTTCTTTAACTAGTATTTGTTTTTTTTTCTTGTAAACTCTTTCGATCTCTCTTTGTTTATACAATAAATTTTTTCCAAAAATTTTTCTAAAAGAGTGCACAACAATCAAGAGCAGAGTACAGACAGAAATAGAGAAACAAAAAATAAATTAATAAATAATTCGAACATCTTTCTCTTCAGTTTCAACTATTAAATAATGTTTTTAGTTTATAATACTACAATGGAGAATATTTCTCCGCTTGTACTCTGACAGAATAAAAAGCTTACATCAATGTTTTTTTATTAGTCTTTAAATCGGGTTACGAATACCCTGTAAAACTTAGTTACGAAAGCCCTACTATAGTGCAGCATTAGACTATATTTTTACCATAAAAATTAACTATACACATCGTTGCGAAAGCCCTGTTAGTGATCTGACGGACTATCTGTCTGAGGGAGATGATATTACATAAATACTACGGTTATGAAAGCCCTGCAAAACACGATGAGAAAGCCCTGTAGAACAGAAAAAGCTGGGCTTTCGTAAAACGAAGGCCGTGCAAATTTTTCAACACGAATCGATATGCTCCCGATTGAATTCATTTAACATCACCTTACACAAGCGGGAGGAGTAATAACATCACCATTCTAATTATAAAATACGAAGACTGAAACTATTATTCATATTATTGTGAATATTTTGATATTGTAAAAATGAGTAAAGAGAAAAAGAGCTAAAACAGATACAAAAAAAGCGATAATCAGACAATACGCAAAATAAAGGCTGGATGTAGCATAGTTTGCGGTGGGAGAAGATTGCTCTTTTCAGAATATTTTTTATTAATTAAGCTTTTAACGGTTCTCTTTGATACCTTACATAAAAAGTCATTTACATTTATACCATTTTGTTTATATCTATCTTGTGTATAACGATAACCGTTTAAAGTTAAAATTGCTTTTTTACGTTTGCTGTCGAGGATGGAAAACATATAGTAGAGTAAAATGTAGGTAATATGTAGCATTCTTGATAAATAGATGATTTTGTGAGTTCAATATCGCTGTATAAGTATATTATACATTTTTTATTATCAACTACAACTGTTTTCTGTACACTATTAGGTTTGATAAAGAAATCCGTTGTTCAGTTGATCTTTTTTATTGAATTTTATCAACTTTTTTCAAATTTAAAATTGTAGTATACATTTTTATAACTGCAACTATAATTCCATGTTTTACAACGGATAAAAAAAGTGTCGACGAAACAAGAATGAATAAGATAAAAGAAGCGTTCACAAGTGATCAACTCATAAATCAGTTATTGAGTTTCTTATGACAGCAAGATTAACGGAAGGAAGTAGATTATTGGAAACAGAGCCGGGGCAGTTGATGAAGCCGTTGTTGTATATGAACCCAAAAATCGATCAAAATCAAATTCCATTGAATAAAATTTTTCTATTTGCTTAATGTTTTCAAAACTATTGCAATCTTTTATATTTGAACATTGAATACTAAAGTGTTGTCGTAATTGTGTTCGATTGTGTAATGCATATACGACTCTGTCTTCAAAAAAAATATCATAACCTGATTTCGTACACCACATACACATCTGTGTTGATGACACATTCATTTCCATTGCCGTTCTACAATGTGTACAAACATCTAAATCAACTGACGTTGAACAATAGGGTTCAATAAAGTTTACATCTGTCGAGTTAGAATATTCCAAACACAATTGTATGGCAGGTAATGGTTCCTGATCAGATATCAGCAACGGTACTATTGACTCATAATAATTTTTGAATGTAACTGACTGTATCAGCAGCTTTAATTTACTTGGATCATTACAGTAATCGGTAGCACATTCGTACACAAAACCTTGTTGAAGTTTGCCTAACTCAACCTGAGTTAGCAGCCAAATGTTTTCGCCAATTTCATGCCGTCCATTGATAGGTCCAACTTCTATAAGACTCATATTAGTACTCCAGAGTAGCAATAATGCACAGGGGTTTCCTGCTTCTTCTTCCGTTACTGGTGCACAGTTTTGTAACATTGGAACGTTGTCTGCTGTTATCAAAAATGGCAAATTCGAATTGTCACAGTCATGGCAAATCAAAGTCAAACTTGAATTAATCAGCAGCATGAGTATAAGCAACTCAAGTGTGAATGAAATGGTCATCGTGAGAAAATACTGAAACAGACGTAAAGACACATTTACTTCATCAAAACTTGTTTTCCTGTAAGTGCTCTTCGTTGTTTCGGACTGACCTTCAGCTTACCCCCACATAGACGAACCTGCAGTTTTTTAAAATATGTGAAAAGTTAACAAGACCCGAGTAAATGAAGCCCGGAGAGTTTTTCGTCAGAATAGGGTACACATTTCTGCTGGGAAATGATCAACCAGTAATTTTGAAAGCTGGCATGATTCATGTACTTGTGCGTGATTCTAAATCTTCTGGATTCGAGCACAATAATTAACTGATTGTAAGAAGATCGACCTGTATGGATTGCGATACAGGCACTTTGTAGACTTAATACACGCAAAGCGTTATCATTCAGAGGTGTATGCATGCATCTAACTAAAAACCCATCTCCATGGAAGGTAAAGATCTTCGGTGTTCTTCCGAGATGACCGATGCTAAATAACGTCTTTCTGCCGATGTTAAAAGCAGAACAGTAATGTGATGCAACTACACCAAGGGGGAAAAACCTCACTTTAAGTGTGTGCACCTCCTAAGTGTCACTTTAACCTGCGCATCCTCCTGAAAAGTCAAGAATTCAGTCCTATATGTTCCAAAATATAAAATGTATGGACTGCGGCTGTTCCGCATGATACAAGTCTGTTTGTCATCATTTTAATGAATAAAGTTAGAAAGCATCTACAAATGGGTGTCCTCTCGATTCGTCACTAATTGATTTCTCACTTCGTCCCTCGTAAATTTTTATTCTTAATTCGTCCCTTCTCATTTCGTCCCTTAAAATTTTTTTCTTGATTCGTCCCTTCTCGATTCGTCCCTCAAATGCACGCATAGGCTAAATTATTCGGCTTTTAAATTTATTTAATAAACTTTGTAAAAAGACCAACATTAATAATTAACAATATATAAACAGCTTCAATGCCATTACGCCCACAAGACAAACCAATTATTCGTGAAGATATCATGTTTTAATTGGGGTTGTTTTAACAGCTCTACCACATTTAATAGCCAGTTCAGCATTTGTTATTGTTCCTTTCACGTGTTCTCCATATAATTCTAATAAATATTCGATATAAATATTTATCACGTAACAATTCAATAAAATGATAAATGTGTGGGTGTTTTGGAAAATTACTTTCCAAACGACTATTGTACTCCTCAACATGATTGTTTGTCCTTGGTAAATCATTAATTATTGCATCATGCACATTTCATATATTAATCCCATATAAACTAATATCTACATAGATTTGACTAAATAATCATTGAATCCAGTAGCATTAACATCATCTGGGTGTATAAATCCATAATATCCGTCCAGGTACTTTCAACAATGTCGGCTAGTATTAATGCTAAACCACTGGGACCAAGAAACCAATGATCTGCCTTTTTATGTTTCGGAGAATAAGTCCTATAAGTTTATATAGGATAGTGAGCTTCTTTTTTTAAGCATCCTAAACGGCTCTAAATTGTAGCTGTTTATATATTGTTAATTATTAATGTTGGT